GGGCATGCAGGCTCTAATCTGTCTCTCCCACCCAGTTTTTGTGCCCCTTCCTCCCTAACACAGGAATAGCAAATCAATTTCTTCCAAAGTAAGCACTGAAACAGATTGGCAGTGTCTTCCCAAGTGCTCAGTCAGGAAGGTTCTGGAGTTGGTAGGCTCCAGGAAAACAACACCTCAACTGCTATAGCCTGTTGAAAGATTAAGTGTCTAGTTTTAAGGATAAGGCAAGATGAACTTCTTTTTCCTTTAAACGAGAGAGTCATTACATGGAGGACTTAGACATAAAAGGTTGAAGAAAAAGTAAATCACATCTTTGTCTCCCCTGGCCCTGTCTAGACCTTATGGGCAGGAAAGGGAAGAATCCCTGACCCAAATGGAAAGATCTGTGACTAAAGGGTTTCAGCTTTTCACCATCCAGGCAGGGACTGGACCTCTGACAGTTCAGTTGTGAGGGTATTCAGGCCCCTACAGGTCCCCAACTTGTGATCTGTCACCTCTGGGAAGGGAAAGCACAGAAGTGCTAGCAGCTGGGCCTAGAAGGAGCATCAGCTGTGGTTTGTACTCCTGTGTTTCAGGAGTGTGTGTCTTGTGTTTCAGACTGCCACCCCTCCGGGAGGTAGAGGGGAGGGAGAATTGTGTGACTGTCTTGGGCATGGAGTTGACTAGGTATCTAGGTGTCATTGTAGTTCCTAGAAAGAGCAGTCAGGTACTCAGAGGTTGGACTGTCTGTGTAAAGGACCGTTCAAATTATGTTAGCCAAAAGACAGTCATCCGCTTCCATTTCCGGCAGACCTTTAATTAGTACTTAATTACAGACCACTGCTTTGTGGTCAGGGTGCACCAGATTCTATTTATGGTCCACATGTAGACTAACATGTGTTGAGGGGCTCAAGCCCCAAGGGTTTTTCCCAGAGACCCTGACCGCATTGAGATAGAGTAACAATATTTGCTCCAGGGGTAGTGGGTGCTCTCTCTGGAACTACTATACTTTTGCATCTGGTTGCTTCTGAAATACACTTCTTTTACATGTCCAATGCAGGGCAAGCCCCATTTTTCCTATAATGCTTCCTTGACCTTGTCTTCCCCTCAGTAAGTCCAGGTCTGTGTAGTTCTGTTCAGCCTTCAGCCACATACTGAAATCTTCGTGTGTGCTAGTCAGAGCACTGTCTCCATGATGCCCTACATAACACCAGAGAACTGCAGAATTGGACCTGTCCAGTAGCTGAAGGAGCCCTCCTCAGCGTCACCTCTGGAACCTAGATGGGTCTCCCTGGAATACTGAGCCACTGTCCCTCATGCCTGCCTGTATCTCCATTATCAACTCCAGGGCTTAGATTAAACCTAATGTCCAGTCACATAGACTTCATACACATCAGATGCACCCCGAATTCTACCTCTTTTTGACATCATTGCTTGGGCAACATTTGGGGACAGGAAAGATGTCTTTTTCCTTCTTATTGCATCTAGGACAGTGTCCAGCTCCCTAACCAGAGAACAAATTGAACTCATCAAAGAGTCTTTATAACTTGAAATAGTGGTTGATTAAGCCTGTCTTATCCAGCCAGGATGTTTGTGTGTGGCCAGGACGAGACTCACAGTAGAGTGTGTTCACAAGAGCATTTCCATTTCTTGGACTCAGAATATCAGATTCCCTATCAGGAGACGGGCATCTTCCTCCCAATGCCAGCCCCACTTTGCAGTGAGCTAAGTTCTTCCTGTTCTATTCTTGCCTCCCACTGCCATGCACCTCTCCTAAGGTTTGTGGAAACCCAGTGGGAGGCAGGGGGACTCCTTAGCTCCTTTCCTAATTTGCTCAGAGGATTTCTTTGTACCACTTCCCCTTCCAGGTTCTCCCAATGTTTGGGGGAAATGAAAAGCAGCATACACCATTTTAGAATATCATGTCAGATCTTGAAGGCTTCCATTATTAGTGAAGACAACCTTTGCTCATACAACTGGTTGTTACACTGGACTGGGTACTGGAGGAGTGACTCGTATGTGGTGAGCTTTGTTTTGTAGCTGTGGTCACTATTTTGTATGGCAGAGAAAATGTGGCTTTGTGCTACCTGTAAGTGGAAAGGATCTTCACTCATCCTCCAATAGCCATGGCTTCCTGTGGTTTGTGATTAAAAAAGATAAAGCACATCATTTTGGTTTTTAGAATTTTAAGGAATTCTTAACCATACAATGCCCATTGGCAGAGTGACTTACAAGATCAGGTCTGACTGAGAGGAGTCTTTTTTCCCCAAATGCCTATATATTTTATTATACATGTTGATATTAGTAATAATGATGGCATGATGACAACAGTGCTGGCACTTTCTGAGGACTTACCATTGAGTCGCTGATTTAATCCCTCCCAAGTTTTAGGAATTACTCAAAGGATCAGATTTTGAAAGAAGTTTATGTTACCTAAGCTCCTCTTCCATACTGCCTACTCGTTCACAATCCTTTCCCAGTTTAGTCTCTGTTCCTTTTGCCACACAAAGTATGCTCTCTCCCTGTTTTCTCAAAAACACTTGACAGCCTTCACTTTCCCACAATAGGTAGATACAGAACCACAGAGAATTTTGTACTGGAGGAGAAACAGCAGCACAAGGCAGTAATATTAGAGAGCAACTGGCACTTGAGCAGTAAGGAGACAGAAAAGGACATTAGGACTGTGGCAAACTGCAGTGCACATGTCCCATCTATAGTGGACAGAACAGCTCTTGCTCAGCCCCAGCATTACTAGAACTTCTGGTTTTTCAAAAGAAGCTAGAAAATATCTTTTTGTGTGTGTGGAAATCTTCCCATTTTTAAATAATAGCTTAAATTTGAAACAAAAACAAGAGATTGTGCTGCTAAACAAAACATACCAGATTATGACCTTATTACATTATTACAAAATAGTCCTGTCTTTGGGTAAAGAAATATAAGGTGTTATTCACAGATGCACAGAAAAGGCAACTGTAGGCCAAAACATCTTCAAGGGGCTCGCACTGGTTCAGTTCACTTTGATTTTGTTTCCTCAGCACAGTGCTTTAATGCATGCATGGTAAGAGCCAACAACTAGGTCCTCAGATTCTGCCTCTTACACCACTTTGGCTTTTGAATCTTGTGTTGTTTTGATTCTAGCTGGTTCTTATAATTCCAGTACTCAGTGCTGCCTGAATAACTGCCTCAGTGCTTCAAGTCCAGATTCCCGAGGCAGGGAATCCAGTTGGTTTTGATGAGGTCTGGAATACTCATAGTTCAATGTCTAAGGGAAGAGGGGTCACAGGATGCAAGGCTTCCCCTTCCAGCTATGTGGGTGTGGGTGGGCTGAATACAGTGTGTGGTCTCTCATCTTTGGATTTCCCCCTGCAGAGACAGACAAACAGTAGCTAGTTTTCTACTTTTGTATTTGGGATGCTTCTAATTGAGATAGATATTTAGAGCCTGGTTCTGTTGCCTCCCTCAGGCATAGGAAACTTAAGTTTGTTTTTTCTAAAGTGCTGCTACATTTCCCAGCTCTAAATGGGATGCAGGTCTAGGATTTGGATCCTTGTCAGGCACTTCCAGTAGGCTCTGGCTGTTGCTGCAGAAAGACCCCATAGGTAAATAGAGCACATCCTGGGAAAGCTGGGCACCATGAGAGAGGCAGGAAAGAAAAGGCATTATGGTGTGAAATGAAAATATCGTAAGTACAGAGGTATTCAAGCATATCGAAGGAGGTGTTTTCTTAAAACGTTTTCTGTTAGGCAATAAGCCATAGAAAAAGTAGGTCACAATGACACATTTTAGACCAGGGGTCAGCAAACCATATCCTTCCTGCCAAATTTGGCCTGGTGCCTATTTTTGTTTTTTGAAACTCAGCTATACTCATTTGTCTGTTTGTCTACAGTATTAAAGTTGAGTCGTTCCATCTGAGACTATGACCCACAAAACAAATATTTGCCACCTTTATAGTAAAAGTTTTCCAACCCATTTCAGTCCATTTATCAAAGTACCTCTTTAGACTGAGAGTAACAATTCTAATTCCAGGAAGTTCTTGGAAAAAGAAAATTGATATTACAAAAAAACAGTCCTGAGAGAATGCTGGGTAATTCAAAATAGGAAATGTTCTATGCTGTTTTATCTAACTTAAATGATTCAGTGAATTAGTTGCTGTTCCTTTGGTATTTTTAGTTAAGACATTTGTGCACTTGGGTTTCTGCATGTGTCCATTTCAGGTGAATGATTCCTACCAAAATATTTTGAGCAGATTTTTAACCCACCAATTTTTTTTTTTGTCTTTTAAGCAAGCCTTACTCTTGCATCTTTTATTACTTTTATTTTTATAAAGGTAATATAAGTTTATACTCATTAAAAGTTAGAAAAACATAATAGCACAGGGAGGAGAATTTAAAATTGCCTGTAATTGGAGCCCCAAGTCATGTAAACCAGTTAACACTAGGTATTATCTACTGTTTTGATACATTGAACTTTCTTATATTGTTAAGTATTTTTGTAACATAGTTTTGCATTATTAGCATAATATTTTCATGTGTATTAATTCCTTATTGCTGGCCATTTTGGTTGTTTTTAGCTACTTAGTATGCAGAAGTAACATTATGTTCCTCTGTATTTATTTCCTCAGGATAAATTCTTGGGATTAGAATTGTTGGCTCAAGAAGCATGAGCAGGCTGGGGGTGTGGCTCAGTGGTAGAGTTTGTGCTTGGCACATACATGGGGCTGGGTTCTATGCCCAGCCACTGCAATAAAAAAGATCATTCTAAAATCTTTCAATAGACATCAGCCACATTGTCCTTCAGAAACATGCTGCTAATTCATACACTAGCTAGGAGGGATGAAAACACCCAGATTTTCATAGTAAATTAGAAAGCCTACTGTATTTTTATTCATGTTTTTAATTTTTATATTTTACTGGGGAAGTGCTTTGATAGGCTAACTGTTGGTTTAGGTGACCTGACTCAGCCACCTATTGTGTAGGAATACACACTCTGAGCAACTCATTCTGGTTTCTCTTTTATCGCAGGCTCCCCCTCCAAAACCACCTCGCAGGCAGGGAGGCTGGGCAGATGCTTCTGTAAAGGTGTCAAAGTGAGTACCAGCAGCTCACAGAGATGAGGTGGGGGTGGGCAGAGTGGGATAGGGACATTGCCTCTATGTTGTTTTGTTTTTTGTAACAGCTTCATTAAGATATAATTCAGTACCATTTAAAGTGTACAATGTATCATTCCTAGGATAGATACACAGTTGTGCAACCAGCACCACAGTCAATCTGAGAACACTTTCTTTGTTTTTGTTTTTGTTTTTTTGGTGGGACTGGTGTTTAAACTCAGGGCTTTGTGCTTGCAAAGCAGCCGCTCTACCACTTGAGCTACATACACCTCCAGTCCCTGAGAACATTTTTTTTCACCTTCTATCAAAGAAGCCCATAAAAGAAATTGTATCTGTTAACAATCATTTTCCACATCTCTCTAACCTCCCCAGTCCTAGGCAACAGTCAACTCTGTCCCTGTCATTTGCTTATTCTAGATATTTCATGTAAATGGGGTTAAACGTTATGTGGTCCTTTATGATTTGCCTCTCTTTTGGCATAATCTCCTCAAAGTTTACCCATATTGTAACTTTCTGTAGTCTTAAAGTAATTTTGTAAACATGATGGACTTGCCTGTTAGTAACTGGGGATGGACTCTGTAGCATGTTCACCCATAAAGAAGAACATGATAGCTGTCCCATTACCCTGCCTAATTGACATCTCATGTTTACTGAAAGCTGGCAGGAATCTTGGGACCTTGGTAACTCAGTATTATCATCCTGTCCTCTTCACCAGAGCTCCTGGGAGGAATAGGCTAATGTCGCAGTGGTTATGAAGCTCTCCCTAAGCCATGTGGGGCTGTGGAGTCAGCTTCCATTCTCACTGACCTGAGTGACATTGGGAAGGTGTTTATGTGGCCAAGCCTTTCACCCAGACACACAAGGTACTGCAGGGATTGGAGCGACAGAAATGTGGCTGTTGTTTGTAGTCCTTCTGGCCTTTCCACAGCTTATGCCAGAGGCCAGTCCCTTGTGGTTCCATGTTGAGAGATGGCACAGTGGTGGTGGAGAGCTGCAGGTTCTGGAATCAGACTTGCTTTTAAATCCTAACTATGCTACTTGTTATCTCAGAGACTGTGACTAAGTGTCTTAACCTGTCTGGCCTCAGCTTTCTCATTGACACAGTAGGGTTAAAGGTAGCCCTAACTCCAAAGGACTGTTTATTAATTCAGATGCGTAAAAAATACTCAGAAGAGAGAAGCACTTAGGAAGTATGCTAGACGTTGGCTATTGTTATTATAATGGTGATTGTGCAGCCCTGACCATATTTTTTTTTTTTACTTTTTTTAATTGTTTTATTATTCATATGTGCATACAAGGCTTGGGTCATTTCTCCCCCCTGCCCCCACCCCCTCCCTTACCACCCACTCCGCCCCCTCCCTCTCCCCCCCACCCCCTCAATACCCAGCAGAAACTATTTTGCCCTTATCTCTAATTTTGTTGAAGAGAGAGTATAAGCAATAATAGGAAGGAACAAGGGTTTTTGCTGGTTGAGATAAGGATAGCTATACAGGGCATTGACTCACATTAATTTCCTGTGCGTGTGTGTTACCTTCTAGGTTAATTCTTTTTGATCTAACCTTTTCTCTAGTTCCTGGTCCCCTTTTCCTATTTTTTGACCAAATTCTTATCTCAGGTATTCTGGCAGATGGTGATGTTCATGAGTTGAAGGATGGATATTTATGCTTCTACATGGAGGGGTCTATTTGGGAGGTCAAGAAAAGCAAGGGTTGTTTTGAATATCAGGAATCATCCTTAATCATGAATTACTTTAGGGGCCCTAAGTGTAGGAATGTCAGATTTCCGAGGCTTTACTATCAGAGGTGCTTGAAACCTTCTGGTGTTAAGAATTGGATATGACTGTTGAGTCACATCTCAGTCTCTGCTATCATCTGGGAATAGCCCTGGCCTAGAGCAGAGACAGGACTCTGGGCATCCAAATGAGCATCCACATCCCTGGAATGCTTTCCCAATTACTTTGTCTTGAGTAATAGGAAAGCAGTCCTCACACTTTTTCCTGCCACCCTCAAAAGGGCAAGATTTGCCTATAATCACAGCACCTGGGTGGTGGAAGCAGGCGGGTTTGGAATTCAAGGCCAGCCTGGGCTTTACCTGAGACCCTGTCTCAAAAAAAAAAAAAAACACTGATTGACAGGTGTCAATCAACTCATCTCTTGTTTTGCCCACAGGAAGCGACACCACAATAAATTTAAAACAATGTGCACTGATTCAGACACACCCGGGTTTGAATTATGGTTTCAATACTTAACTGGTAGTGTAAACTTGGGGACATTACTTAATTCTATAATGGAGCAATAATACATGTTGCAAAGAGTTGTTTTGAAGCTTGAACATAAAATACAGGAAAAACACTTAGCTTAGTGGTAGTACCTAGCCAGTTGCTGCTATTTTTGTTAAAAATTAACAATTACTTGCCTGGCATGTGCAAGGCCCTGGGTTCAATCTCCAGCAACTTAGTGGTGCATAAGAAATAAGTTAATAATGTAGGACTGTCTTAGTTCCATGATTGTAAAACATGAAGTGTTGCACATGACAGTGCTGGCTGCCGTCTTCATCCCCTTTGTTAGCGTCTATGGCTTTCATCAATCTGGAGTGGGCAACTTCCAGACTACACAGGTTTGATTGCAGCTAGTTTTTGTGGATTCTTGAAGTTTGAGTCATTGCTGAAATCATTAATCTAGGGCATTCTGACACAAAGAATACTGTACTAAGGTTCTAGACATTTTTGTAGTTTTTGCCTTTAGTCCCATTTTACAGGTGAAATAAGTGGATGCCTATAAGCTGAGGGTGGCAAGTGCTGAATGTCTCTTAGTTCAGAATCCAATTCTAAAGACAGACGAAACTACAAATTATGTTGGTCCTTAATCCTTTGTAGTGAGTCTTAGATGAAAGGTAAATGATAAAATTAGATTTATCACAGTAATGGGATAGCCAACTCTAAAGTTTATTTAAGATATACATAGGAAGATAGTGTCTTTTTCTCAAAGATATCTTTTTTTCTTTGCCTTTTTTATAGTACTGGGGTTTGAACTCAGGGCTTCATGCTTACTAAGCAGGTGCTCTACCATTTGAGTCATACTTTCAGCCCTAGATATCATTCTTGTTTAGAATTTTCTTGAATAATTATTACCTTCAAAACAGCACTGTTAAAATAATTTTCTTTCCAATTCTGTCTACCCTTTCCTCCTTTTTCTTTCTCCCTTCTTCTACCCTCACTTGCTCTACTCTCTCTACCTCTACCATTTAAATGCAAGTTGTAGATGTCATGACATTTACCCCTAAATATCTTAGCAAGATTAAGGACATTCTTCAGACAATCAGATTATAGTGTCATGAGCACATCTAGGCTACTGCATAGTGATTTAATAACATTTAATATATACTTTATATTTAAATTCCTCCATTAGTCCCCAAAATGTCTTATATAGCTCCAGGACCCAATCAGGATCCACACATTGCACTTGGCAGTTCTGTCTCTTTAGTCTCTTTTAATCTAAAAGAGCCCCCTGCCCCCACCCCAAGACATTGACCTTTTTTAAGGAATCCAGGCCAGTTGTCTTATAGTGTCTTACTCTGGGTTTCTCTAATTGATTCTTGATGATCAGACTAAAGTTGAAGGTTTTGGGCAGGAACAGGTGATACTGGGTGTCATCTTCTACCAAATGAGGAAGCACAGGCCTGCTACTGAACCCTTTTTGATGTCACCAAGTTTGACCACTTGGTTTAAGTGAAGATCTCCAGAACTGTCTGTCATGAAGCTTTCTTTTTTTCCTTTATAAATAAAGTGATCATTTTGGGGTGCTGCTTAAATTCTGTTCTCAACATTTCACCCAGTGTTTTTAGCATCCATTAATGTTCATTGCCTGAATCAATTATTATGTTAAGGGTTGCACACTGACAGTTTCATAATTCCATCATTTATTTTATAGCAATTACCTGGAGTCTTTTATAAAGAGTTTTCCTGTTTCCCCCCTTTTCTTTATTACCCTCTGGTCTTTTTTTTTTTAATTATGAATTCATGGATCTTTATTGTTATTCATTGTATAATAACTTATATGTTATCATCTTTGGCTTTTTCCATAATAATAATTAATAGTCAGATTGTCCCATATTTGGCTAGGAACTCCTTCAAGTTGGCTCTTTCCTAGGCCTTTGATCTTCACTATTAGCATTTGGGCACTTGCTTGCTTTCTGCTACAGCAAGATATATCCAAATCACTTTGTGTCCAGTCCTGCAGTAAGCCACTTCTCCAAGAAGCCCTGGCTTCTTTTGGTGGAGAACAATCTTAGAATTCAAGATCTGAGCATACGTGCTTATTGTTCTTAGGATATCATTGTTTCTAGTCTCCTTCAGTGAACATGGCTGGGAAACATATTTTTAAATATGCTCTATCCTTTAGCACACATGAAGTAGTTTTGTAATTACTACACTAATGAATTACCAATCAAAACCTCTGAAGTAAAGCTCAAGGTTTCTTTGCAGTTCTTGTCCTTAGAATATATCTCACTAAGGTTTCGACTACTGTTTTCAGATGTTACTTGAAGTCTTTTCAGTTTGGGTTAAGATATCAGTTTAATACAAAATTAGGTTCATTTATTTGTTTGTGTTCAATTTTGAGGGTTTTTTTGTCCTCTTTCATTTACTTTTGAATATATAAATATTTACATGGATCAAAAGTTAAAATTGCAGAGAAAGACATACTCAGACATGTCTTCTTCCCATCCTTATACCCCCTACCCCAACTCATTCCCAACCATCCCCTATGGGTAATTAATTTCTTTATTAATTTTTGGTTTGTCCTTTCTATACTTCTTTTTGCAAAAGTCAACATTAGATAGGTATATGACATTTTCAAATTTCTCCATCTTTATTTCTAAATGACAGGAGTCAGCAAACTATTGTGCACAGCCCAGCTGATTATTTTCATTAATGAAATTACTCTTCAATTAGAATCCAGCTCTCACAGGACAGGAAGCAC